TTAGGATAATTTTTATTTGCTGAAATATCTCCAGGAACAATAACAATATCATTCGAATTTACTGTATTATCCCAATTTTCTTCTATTCTACTTATATAGTTCTTCCACTCTAATCCATATTGTGACATGTCTTGAGTTCTTTTTTTAAATTCATTCTTCACTGACACTTCTGTCATTTTACGTCCTTCAAATTTAGGTTTCACTACTTCAATTAAATCTAAATTTAAATGAAGATCACTTAATACAAAAACTCTTCTCATTATTTTTTTATTTCTAGTTTCTTTCTTTTTTTGCTTAATTCTTTTCATTTCTTTTTTTTTCCTAATACTTTTCTTTTATTCATTTTTAAAATCATTTTGAATTTATAAAAAATTAGTTATTTGCTGTTTATAACAAATAATAACCATATCAATTCAAATTTAAATTAATAAACAATAACAAAACATTAACTGACCACTATAATTTTTGAAGGATTTATAAACAAAAATGGATGTTTTTTGTATAAAAAAATTATTCAAAAATAATGAAAGAAGATAATGATTAATAACAAAAAAAAATCAATTATGTTTTAGTTAAATTGAATTATTCAAAACTGTTAATTAATTTCTTTGTGTACGGTGAGGAATTTTTGAATGAAAAATAATGAAACAACGATGACGTGGATCCACCAATTGAAACGTAATTCAAGAATGGAAATAACCCGAAATTTTTAGTAAAAAAGGGTTCAAAAAAATGAGAAGAAAAAAGACAAAGAAGAAGATTTTTGTTAATAAAGAAAAGGCAAAAAAAGAAAAATGGTAAAAGAAAAAGAAGAAAAAACGAAAGAAAAGAAAGAAAAAAGGAGAAAAAGGAAATAAAAAAAAAGAATAAGATTCAAAAAGATAAGAATTAAATAAAATAAAATTATTTATTAAAAGGAATGAAAACAGCAAACTTATAAAGGGTTAAAGAAACTTAAAAATTTCAAATACCCTTTAATTAAAGAAGATGACTACATTATATGTTTCACATTTGGATTACGCTCTTAAAGTTGAAGACATCCAAAATGCTTTTAAAACTTATAATCCAAAAGAAGTAAAAATTATTTCAACTCCA